TCGAGATGTCACACAGAAATGCCAACTCGCACAGAAACCTTTGCTCCCGGAGCTCTGCTGTGTTCTTCCCCTTGCTTTCCAGAAACTGAAATATTTCCTCACGCAGCTCGAAACATCTGTTCAATACTTTCCCTCGGCTTAACCATCTCACCTCTGTGTGATACGGTACGTCTGCGTGTTCTGAACCACAGTCCTCAAGAAAAGACTTAAACTGGCAGTGATTTAAAGCTTTAGCTCTTATGAAGTTAACCACTTTTGTTACTGTGGTCATAACATGCTCCATATTTAAGGCGCACCATCTGTAGTTAATCCCACGAGTTTATCCCACGGCAGTTTTATTTCAGTCATACATTTGGAAACTTCCTCAAAAATGTCCTTTCCTGTGGTTGTGCCATGCATTGATTTTAATCCCAGTAGCTCCTCTGTAACGCACAGATTTGAGTCCACTCCACGGATGAAGATTGACAGCTGAGCAGTGTCAGATGCGTCGCAGCTCTCATCCACAGCAAGGGAGAATGCAACGAAATGTTTTCCCTTTTCCATCAGCAACTCATAAAGATTGGTGGCAAGATCGCATGTGCGTTCAGCCACTGTGTGTTTCTGCTCAGGCTTACGTTTGAAGTAAGCTCAGGCTTACTTCTATTGACCGATGAGTGCGTGTTGTCCTTGAGGTGTATGCGAACATCCGAGTCTTTGTCCTGAGGAGTTGGCCCTCCTGTGTTGGGCCATGCGCCTGTGTAGCAGTTGTTTAGTCTCACCAATGTACAGGTTAGTGAATGATGAAGCAGTTTGTCTTGGTGTGTTGCTAGGTTTGAAGACAAAGTGGTCACACAACCTGAATGAACACCAGACTAAAGGGGTGATTGCATGAATGATTGTATGTAAATGTATGAACATGAAGAATCTGAGGCCATTTGGGGGAATGAAGTAGATAATGTGTCTTATATTTCAGTTTGATTTGTTTTACTAGAGAGTTTCCAATTAGTCCCCGTTGGTGATTTAGTCCAAATCAGGGAAATAGTGATGGGATTTTAGGTGGTGGAATAGTCAAGTTGGATTTTCACTTGATCCCAAATGTGTTTTTCACATATAGGTCATAAGGTTCGTAAGTGTAGTTTGAATTGTTGCAATTAATTACTGAACACGGATTGCCATTGTCTTATGTAATATACATATTCAAGAGTAATAGCACCGTAGTTATTTAAACATTTAGAATCATTGGTTGCTTCAGTGTTTTCTCTTTTTACTCTGTTGTGTGAACGGTGTTGCTCTGCTGGGTGTTTCATCATTGATGGGTGGTCAGTGGTGGTGTTGTTTTTCTGTAGCTCTTTGTCTTGTAGGGTGAGTTCGATAGGCAGCACCAGGGCGACTCCTGTGACTATCAATAGACACGCAGAGAGTCGCATTGGAACGAGTATCTTCTGTCGTCATCATTTTGAGAGGAGAGGTTACCAGCACTTCACTGTCTGGGTCAATCATCTTATGTTTGCAGGACGAGGGTTAGCCCAATACAGCAATGACGCTAAATGGCCGAGGATCTCCCTGCGTGACCGACGTGAAGATGTACAGCTTTTGTAATAGCTACACTCCTTTGTAGTGGGACTTGCCCTCAAGCAATTGGATCCTTTACCAAGAACCTCTGTGTCTTGCAACGTGAAAGATGAATCCAAGGTGGTCGTTCAGCAATATTTACGGCTGTAGGTGTCGTCAGCGAGACCAGTTACGGGCCTTCCCACTTTGGAGTCGACCAACATTTTGGCGTACTGTCACGTAGCAAAGATATAGGAGTGTGTGGCATACAGTTAGAATCTGTTTTGTGTTCAGCATCTTAGTCATACAGTGTACTAAGTCGAGGTATTTTATATGGTATTATTTGAATCAGGAAGAAACTGGCACCCACAATGTGTTGGGAATAATGATTTTGGGGAAAAAAAGAAAAGTTAAAAAAATCCTCATAATGTGGGATTTATTGATATGTATTTGCGGAAAAGTGCTGTTTTAACAGGTAATAAGTTTACGTACACGTTTGTCTTCAGAGCTTAGTGCTTGGTAGCATTTCCATTAAGTGTTGTAACTTTAGCAAGGCGGTTTGGATAGCCATCAGTGAGGTTCTCACAGTTATCTTTTGGAGTTTTTAGCCAGTCTTCCCGGCAGATTTGGTGGTCTTGTCGTTTCTTCAGTTGAGTCGACGAGTTCTCGATAGGAATCAGGTTAGGGCTTTGTGAAGGCCACTCCAGTGCTTTCACCTTGTTGTGCTGAAGGGATGTTGAAAGTAATTTAGCTTTATGTTTTGGATCATTGTCCTGTTGAAAGAGCCACTTTTGCCCACGCTGCAGAGGTTTGGCTGACTGTTCTTCCAATATTTCCAAGTATTGCTCTAATGTCATGATTCCATGGATGTTTTGGAGTTTACTAGTTCCTGATGCTGCAAAGCAACCCCACAACATGAGATTTCCTCCACCATGCTTGACGGTCAGGATGGTATTGTAGGGATTAAAGGCTTCAGCCTTTTGCCGGAGAACGTATTGCTGGTGGTTATGGGGAAACAGAGCAGTTTTTTGTCATCTGGGAAGGGAACAGAGGAGACGAGGAAGTGGTAGCGTAGAAGGACAGGCAGTGGTAGATTTAGCAAAGAGAATGGAAATGGAACACAGGGTGACTTAAAAGAGTGGAGGCAGGTCCACACAGATGTAGAAGAGGTAATGTGATGGAGATTAGAGACTAACTATAAAGTTTTAAGATGATTAAAAGATTCACCAACAACAACATTTTAATATCGACTAAACAACCGGAGGAGAAACATTTCAATCCACAGCTGTCGTGTTGCCTGCCTTGCCTGAGGGCACTTCAGCAGAATTGATGTTGGCTGTCAGCAGGCTGAAGGATTTAATTAATTCCCAGATGATTGGGAGACAACAGGTGCAGTGATTAGGGAGACAGGAAGGAAGGTGATAGAAAGGAGGACAAAGAGAGTTGTTGGTGGAATGATGAGATCCAGGAGAGTGTGCAGAGCGAGGGATTAGCCAAGAAGAGATTGGATAGTGACAGAACAGAAGAGAACAGACTGGAGTACAAAGAGAGGACAAGGGAGGTGAAGAGGGAAGTGGGCATATGAGGAGTTGTACGAGAGTTTGGAAACAAAGGAAGTTGCTTATGTTTGTGGACAATTGTGTGAACAGATGTCATGGCTGTGTTGTTTAGACTTTACCATTGGAAGTCTGAAGTCAAGATGTAGTGTGTAAAGGCAAGGTGCTGTTATGGCCCATCATTTCTACACAAGTTGAATGAATACCAGACTAAAGGGATGATTGAAGTTGAAGTAATTAACTTGACAAGTGGGTGTATGTAAACAGAGTCTGAGGCCATTTGGGAAGACGAACTATATATGTGTTGTTTGTGGGGTAAAATAAATAAAAGGAAGGATGGGGACCACGATGAGATGAGGAACCGTGCTGTATTAGCGGAGTGAAGGAGTTAAATTGGGAATGACGTACAGAGAGTCGGACGTAGTAAGTGATGCGCATTGATCGAGAGTGTCTTTGATGTACGGTTAGAATAGATTAAGTTTTGTTATCGAGCGAGGTGTGCAGTACCGACCGAAGAGGGGACATCCTTATTTCCAAGGGCTGTTGCGGTGGTGTCCGAAGGAGCGACGTAAGCACAACAGAGGAAGAGAAATGATGTGACGCTCCTGTGGTGTGACTGCTGGTACCCGATGGCGTAGCGGCTCGGCGAGCAGTGGGCCCGGAGAGCAAATGGTGCAAAATGACATGGTGTAATTTGTAAAGGCTTTCTGTTGTTATATCAATAAATATGAATGACTAGACTGAGTATGAGTGTTTGTTGGATGAGTTTTTATTGGCTGTGTAGAGGTCAACATGAACGGACAGATGGGTGAAATGAATGTGATTGTATTAGTTATTAAAAAGAGTGAGTTTGTTTGTGTTGTACGATGACAGCAGTATTTGTGGAATGTTGAAGATTGTCATGATTTCAGGGTAGTTGTCTGAGGAATGTGTGCGAATGCAGTGGAGAAGCAGTTTGGTGAATGGAGGTTTGTCGTCAGGGGGGTGAGGAGGAGGAAGAGAGTCAGGATTTAAGTGTATGTTATATCACGCAGAAGTCGTGTTAGAGGGGAGATAGTTAGTTAAGAATGGGGTTATAATAGTTATAATTTATGCGTAGGAGCTGTTTATGCTGACAAATGTGTTGGCTGGGCTCGAGTCAGGTGCTGCGATGTCCGTTTTGGCTGATGCAGAGATGTTTGTGACTCGGTGCGTGTCATGTGAGGCGGTGACCTTGGAGACGGGAGTTGTTGTGTTGTGTAATGGCGTGGGTGTGTGTTTTTCAGGGTGCGAGCGTTTGGATTCCGGATCCGGTGTGGGCGTCAGGCCAAGTGGTCCACGATGACAGTCCTGCAGTGAAGCAGCTGCAGCTTAAGCTGTGCGATGGAAAGGTAATGTACGTGCACAGGTGAAGTAAATGGCGGTCGTTGGATTGGAGTGTTTTCAGTGAAGTGCGTGCGACGTTTCCGCTAACAGGTGGTGGACTACCCGGTGGCTTCCCGGGCTGACCTCCCACCTTTGGGGAACCCTGACATCCTGGAGGGAGAGAACGACGTGACGTCTCTGAGGTTCCTCCACGAGGTGGCCGTCCCGCACAACCTCCGAGTGTGATTCCTGGAGTACAACGGCATGTGCACGTACTGCGGTGAGTGCTGGGAGGGGATTACGAGGGATGGTTGTGGTGTTATTGAGAGGCAAGGAACGTATGTGGCATGTGTGAGAGTTGGTTGTAGTTGTAGTGGTGTTAATGAGGCAGTAGGTCAGGACTAGAAGGCATGTGGGCATTTGGTAAATGTTAGCTTTGTGCTCTGTGACTGTGGATCTTGATATGTATGTTATGTAGTAGAAGCAGGTAAAGAGAGGTCAAGTGTGTGTGTGTGTGTGTGTGGTGTTGTGAGAGAGGGCGTTGGCCGAAGAAGTGGAATGTTTGGGTCACAGTTTGTGTTATAGTTGAAAAAGGGAGTCCTTGTGTTGACGCATGTGCTAGTTGGTTGTAGTGTGGTTTTTAGGAGACGGGGGAAGAGCAGAAGGCGTGTGTAGTAGTGAATGTGATGTATGAGGATTGACATGGTTGTTGGGGTTGTAGCAGCTGAAGTGGGAGAGTGTGTTGTGTTGAGTAATGGGGAAGTAGAGGTGAGTTAATGTTTTGAAGTAGAGAGAGTGAGGAAGTAAGGAAAGCACAGAATGTAAGGAGTGATGTGTTTTTGAAAGGACTGAGGAGGCAGTAGGAAAGGGTGTAGAAGGAGCTGTGTAGCTGTGAATGTGAAGGTGGTGGACAATGGAGTGGTGGTGGAGGTTTTGATGTGAGTGTAGCTGCTGTTGTGGAAATGTGGTAGAGGTGGAGAAAGTGAAGGTATGAAGTGTGTATTGGGCTGTGTGTGAGGTTGGTAAGTAGAGTGAGGAGTTGTGTCAGAGAGGGTTAGTGTGGTGTAGTAGAAACATGCAGGTTATGTTGAAGTACATGGCCCCTTGTTGTGTGGCTACTGGATGTGTAATGCAGGGGTGGCAGTATTGAGCTGTGGTAGGGGAGTGTTTGTGGTGTTGGTGGAATGTGCAGTTAGTCCTTTGATGTCCAGGTTGTAAGTGAGTGATAGTGAAATTGGAGTGTGTTTTCAGGGAGGCTGTTGTAGGTGCAGCTGTGTGTTTGGAAGAAATGTGTGTTAGTGGTAGTTGTTGTGGAGAAAGTGAAGATGCGTAGTTTGAAGTTGAGGATGTAGGTGGTGGAAGTAGTGCAAGGTGGCAGGAGAGTTTGTGTGTGTTGTTGTGAATTGACGCTGTTGTACTTGTTGTTGTTGTCTCCGCAGGCATGGTGTTGGTGGCTATCAACCCCAACCACGAGTAGCTGAACGTCTTGGGGGGAAGACGCGATGGACGCTTAGAGCGGTGGGGACACGGATCCTCACGGATGTGGCCGAGGACGCCTTGAGCACTTAGAGGTAGGTTTTGGTGGAGGAGGAGGGAATGTGAGTGTTGTGACACATGTTGTGACACATGTTGTGTTTTGTGTTTTCACAGAGAGAGCAGAAGAAGCAGTCCATCTTCAGCAGCGGAGAGTGGGGCTGGGGGAAGACGGTGTTGTGCCAAGTTAGGCCAACTTGGCAGACACCGAGTGTTGGCGTGAAATCCTGTGATGGAGGCGGAAGGTGGCAAATGTTGTTGTTCTGTGTAAGAATTTAATAAAACGTGAAAACAAAGTGTTGAAAAGAAACAAGGTGAATTTGTGTATTATTTATTTATTTATTTATTTATGTTGAAGGACCACAATGTTTGACAACACAGGAGGGGGTAAAACACTTTTTATTAACATATCAACATTGACATATTAAACTTGTCAGCCGTCAAACTGTCTAGACACTTAAATGAGAAGAAAATAAATAAAGTAAAAAAAAATTTACAAAATTAAAACCAACCGCTCAAGGCGTCCTCGGCCACATCCGTGAGGATCCGTGTCCCCACCGCTCTAAGCGTCCATCGCGTCTTCCCCCCAAGACGTTCAGCTACTCGT